TTTCACCTTGAATTGGTGGAATGGAGCCTAACAAAATCCATAAAAGAAAGGCATTAGTTCACAACAAAAACCAGAAAAGAAAGGCTAAAATGCATTCCTTAAGGGTTTACCTACATACACTGACAAATAAGTGTCCCTGTAGTAGCATTTATCCACAAACAACTCAGGTTCCTTGCCCAGAAAGTATATGGAAGCCACTGCATGGCAACATGGGATGCCAAGCATATCCCATTTCCTACAAGTACAACTCCTTCTTTCCAAATCCACCACTAGCTGATCCAAGTTATAATTCACATTGAAAAGGGTTTCAGAGGAAGGAATTACTTCACATTGTGCAGCCTTTGCCTTCTCAGCTTCCAGCTTGGCTTTAATTCTTGGAAAAAGTATTGAGGTGGCTTTCATCATAGCTTGCCTTTTCACCACCAATCTCTGCATCAAAGTACCTCTTATGTCTTCTAACATGTACAGCAAATGCTTGGTCCTTGCTTGAAAGATGTACCCATTGAATGTCTCTGCTATGTTTGAAGTAATTGCATCAGTCTTGACTGCAGGATTCAGAAAAGCTCTGCAGAATAATTCAGGCCTATGCAATTTGAAGTCATTGGCTGCATCCACATTCAACTCAGCAAGCTCCTGAAGTCCTTCATTGTAATCAACCATATTGTATGCCTTTGCGATTCTCTAAAACAACAATTTCAGCTCATCTCCTTTATACTTCTTGTGCCAGTGAGCAAATATGTGTTTAGAACAGTGTCTATGCTCTGCCTTAGGCAGAACAGTTGAGATACTATGCACTATGCTCTGTCAAATTAGAAAACAACCAATACAAAATTCAATTAATCATACAATAGGCAAAGTATATACAATTAGCTCATCTAAAGAATGAAGTATACCTGATGCTCATCAGAAATGATTGAGATCCCTTCTCCTTCTTCCAGATTTAGACAACCAGCAAGTTTCATGAAGAACCACTCCCAGTTGGAGTTGTTTTCACCTTCAACAACAGCCCAGCACACTGGGAACATCTGGTCATTACTGTCCTTGCCAACAGCAGCCAACAGTTGACCCCCCATAAAGGTCTTCAAAAAACAGGCATCCACTGCCAAGACCTTCCTACAACCTTGCATCCACCCAGTTTTCAAACCTTCAAAACATATGAACAGTCTCTGGAAAATTGGAGGAGAAGCCTGCTTTTTAGTGTCAGTTACAAGCTCCAAATCTGTTCCAGGACTGCATTCCTCTATTGCCTTCAAATACCCTCCTAGCTTGTTGTAGTGGTCATGCATTGACCCATGTAACAGTTTATGGGCTGTGTACTTAACTGTGTAGGCAAAGTATTTGGTGACCAACATCCTATATGCCTTCCTTACACACTCAATAATCTCTTTTACTGGCCAATGTGGCCTGGCTTTAAACACATCTAGATATTTCTTTGTAATAAAACTTGATTTTAGCTGCCTGTTCCTCTTCATATTTCTCTGACAAGTGTGAACACCTTTCACTGTCTTCACAATGTTGTAGCTCTCCTACTATCCCAAGAAGCATACACATAGAATGGACAGCTTTCTGTGCATTTGACACCAAACCTCTGAGATCTGTTTTTGTTACTCATAATAATACTCACATCTCTCCCTGCAACACTCCATACTTTGCTACAGCATCCTTGAAATCCTCTCTATTTGCAAATTTCTGCCCAACTTTCCACTCAAAAGTTGCAAATTCTGTTTCTCTAGACACTAATAGACCCAATCTTTTTCTCCTTATAGGAATCAAGTCTTCCTCACCACTATCAGGTGGGGTATGAATTTCCTCATCACTCTCTTCATAATCACTCAGGGGGCCAGAAGGTTCACCAGCTCCAGCTTCCCCAACCTGCTGCTGTATGCTTACGCCCTCAGCTCCAACTTCCCCAACCTCCTGTTGTATGCTTACACCCTTAACTGCTTCAGATTGGATTATCCTTGCAATATCAACAAGCTAGGCAGTTGTATCCCTTACCCTTTGCCTAGCTATGTTGTATTCTTCATCCTCACTATCAGACTGATACTGTAGCTCCTCATTCAAAATCTCTTCAGTCTCCTTCTCATACTCATCCTCTGCCTCCTTATCATCATAATGCTCTTCACCTATATCAGCACCAACATCATAATCCTCTTCACCTATATCAACACCACCATCAAACTCTACATGTAACACATCCACCTCCCCACTGTCATCTGTATACACTTCTCCAAAGAAAGGCTGGCTACTAACTCCTTTTCCTTTGTCAACTTATGGGTTGTAACTAGGGTCAGCAGTGTCACTATCACTGCTAAAATCTGGTATCAAGTCATTAATGGGGATAGGGCTATCAGGCCTTGAATCTTCCCACTCAAAACTGTTAACAAGGTTATTTTCTGTGTTTGCAACTGCTATGGAAGAGGGAGTGGGCTGAGATATTTCAAATGTGGTATTAGGTTTTATAACATACTTTATTCTACATGTACTTTGGGTAGATTGGGTAATGGTTGGTGGATTGGGAATAACTTCAGTGGGAGCATCTTTTTTTGGAATTGATGAGCTGTCAAGGGCTTTTTGGGAAGGTTCATCAATAATCAATGGCTAACTTTTGTTTCTTGGACTAGACCTAACTGGTGGTCCCCTCTTTATTGGTAGTTTCTTTTTTCTCACAGTTTTGGGCTGAGTCTGTTTTGAGGAAGCAGGTTGTAGTTCAGTAGGAAAGAGTATTGGGTCATTCTCACCATGCAAAGCATAAACCTCCACCCCCCGTGCTTCTCTGCCACCTGTATCATTTCCCTCATACTATCATCATCAGTCACCCTCCTCAAACCATCCACCATACTAAGTCCAGGAACTAAGTATAAAAACCCCTGAATTCTACCATCATATCTAGCACACTTCATAACCAACTCCACAAGATAAAAGGAGCATATTTCATTAGGGTCTACACTAAAAGTTCTACCTTTCCCATTCATATAACACAACCCACCATTGTCAAGCTTCTGACACACCCCTCCATGCCACATTTTCAAGGTTATTTTATTACTTGATTTACGACCCATACCTAAATTAACAGGAACTATAGCACAATCAACATTCAACAAAAACCAACAACACAACAAAAACCTAGCACAATCAACAAAAACCAACAACAACACAACAAAAACCTAGCATTTAGGATTCGAACTCAATTAACATAAACCAACAACAATAATCACAACATAAGACAAGCAAACCACAATTCACTCCCACAATTCGCAAAATCATCAATTTCGAGTTTAATTGTTTAAGGTTCGACATACACTTGCAAAATTAGAAAAATTTCAGGCGTACATTAGGGTTCAAAACTTACCTTGAATGGAGTTCTTTGCAGTCCAAATATCAACGACAATGACAGCTTCACACTTTAGGGCACTGTACTCAACTGGTTGAAGCTTCAATTATGACTGACGAACTTCTTTTGCAGGCTCTATTCAAGTGAGTAATGAGGAGTTCTTTCAAACATTAACGAGGGTGGTTGGGAGGAGGGAGAGATGACTTGGCATCTTTTTTAAAGAAATTAGAGAACCAAATGCCACGTCAGAATGCTTAACCTTGTTAGCCGGTTACAAGTAAAAGGGGACCAATAATAATTGAAGACCCCCTAAGGTCGGATTATTAAATAATAATCCAAAGGTCGGATTATTAAAAAAGAATGGGAAAAAGGTCAAATTATTGCCATTAATTTTTCCTATTTTAAAAAGGATATTAGCACAAAAGAGAAAAATAAATCGCCAAAAAAATAGAGGGCCTATAGCCGAGGGAGCCCCAGTTCCTCATTATGAAAAACACTTTTGTTTCTCATAATGACATTTTGGAAAATAATGTGATGTTTTTCACTGGTGGGGACCGCGTGTGTATCATGAGTGGGAGCCCCAAATCTTGACACATACTCCGTGAGAAACAAAACTTATTTCTCACAATTAGAAACAGAGAATTATCCCCAATAGCCCACCCACACATCACATTACCCAAGTCCCAGGGCCAAGCCGACTAGCTTGACGTGCATGTGGGGTACAACAACCCACCTCCCTCTTTCCCAACTAAGAGCAACATCCTCTACACTAAGAGGATGTACATTCTTGGGCTCAATGTCTGACGCATGGAAGCTCACCCAAACAATGTTTATTTTTTTTTTTCTTTACTCATCAACATGTGGCCACTATAAATAGACACGTGGCACTCCATTTGCATTAATGAGAGGATTAATCGAGGATCAGATCCTTATTGACGTGGAAGGAAATAAAGGATGAGAAAAGTAAAAGGATGGAGAAAGTAGGGTATATAAAAAGAGAAAGTGAGGTGTTAAGAAAGTAGGGTATATAAAAGTGTAAATTAGAAGATGAGGATGAGGATGAGGAGATTGTTGTTATTGCTCTAACGACTATTAAAGTGCTCCAATATTTAAATATAGGAAAAACATTCCTTTTCTTTTATGTTGGATTTTTTTCTCACTTTTGTTCTCTAATATCTTTGTTTTTTACATCAAGAATTTCTATCATGTTGAAGATAATATTAATGTATCCTCTTGGTATTATCTCATTGTCTCATTGACCATTGTTGTGATTTATTCACCTCGATTAGCGGCTTGTGATAGTGTTTGACAGATTATTGGTGCTTAGGTAATTATCGTAACCTATGTGCATGATACTATTTGTTAATTGTTATAAGGATATTATTTTATCTACTATGTTGCCTCAAACTGTTCTGAACATTATACTCGAAAAGATGTTGGCTTAGACCTTGGTTATTTTCCATAGATGAAATGCACACTATACGCGAATGCTAGTTCCTTCTACCCTTACTCGATCGGACTCGGGTATCCATGTCTGACATGGGTACATAAGTGTCAGACTTGGCTATTTTGTGAAAATTCTACTATTTAGAACTAAAATGAAGTGTCCAACTATCATATCCGTCTCCGAGGGTCGAGGGTCCAACAAGGTACTTGAGATAAAATAAAGAGTTCGAGTAACATAGCTTTAACAAAACAAACACTAGTTTCTTAATACAATAGAACCCAAACATACAGTATGTATTTCCCTATTACTTCAAACAATAACCACACCAATAGAAGAAGAAAATATAAATCATAATAGTCAATAGCATAAATCATCCGATCAACAAGAACAATAGTCAATAGCAACTATATATGAGCTCACTTACTAGAATATGCATCTTACTTGAGCAAGAAAAATCGTATACGTAGTAACAAATACAGGAAGGCCACCATCTAAGGCCTACATGCCAATAATTTGAACAGTTTTGTCAGCATCACTAAGAAGAAAACCTTTCTCTACCATGGGGAGAAGAGAAGTCGATATTAGGGCCACGAGGAATAATCCCGTAAGGATTAAGGGATGGATGACTTCCATAATAGTGCTTCTTGATGTGTTCCATGTTCACTGTGCTGCTAATGCCAGGAATTTGGAAGATATCTTTAGTGTAATTGAACAAGTTTGGGTACTCGCGGATCAGTTTCTTGTTGCGTTTGAAGTAAACAGCATACACCTATGAGCAATAAAATTAAAGTTATAGGAGTAGAATCAGATTGAAAAAAAAAAATGAAAATCATCTAAAGCATGACTTACAGTATTTACTTTTTCCAGTGCTTCGTACAGTCCATCAACAGCCTAAGAAACGGATCATAAAAATATATCATCAGGACACAATGTTGCACACCAGAACTTTGCCTATTAAAAGCCAACAAAACAAAGATGGATCATCAGGTAAGATTCAAAAAACAACGGTATTAACCTGATCATATGGTTCTTGCTTAGTGGCAAATCCACATCTGTAGACACCATTGTTGATCTTATCATATATCCATCTGTTAACCTCATCAATTTGAGTTCGCAAGTGATGGGGATAGAGGTCCAAATCCCCATTCTCAGCTACATCATTGAACTCAGAGTTTAACATGCGAATAATCTCTGAGCTCTCATTGCTTACAGTTGTGTGAAGTTTCTTGTCCCAAATAACCTGTAGGAAACAAGTTTGTAAATCAAAAGATAAGAGTATCGAAACCTGTCATGTTAGTGACATAGAATGAGTGATACATACAGGAACTGTATATTTGCCAGAGTAATTAGCACTTGCAAGCTCATACAGTTCTCTGATAGTCTTTACACCATTCAAAGGGTCCGGCTCAGCACCTGGTTCTTCCGTATCAGAGTCAGGAAAAACCCATCCCATATGTGAATCACCTTCTTTTGTTCTTTCCCATTTGGTTTTGACTGACTGCAAGTGCAAGGAAATGATGTGTTATACTAAGCTAGGGCTCTACATATGATGGTACGAACATTGTTTCAGTTATAGATGCCCATCTTACCGAGAAACTGATTGCCTTTTCAAGCCCTTTAAGCTTCAAGAAAGAAAGGCATCTACATGCCCACGGACAAGCATAAGATATATATAGGTGATATCTTCCAGAGTCAGGCAGAAAGGTTGATTCTGGATCTCTTGAAATAAAATTGCAGAATGCTGATGGAGGGCGAATGTAAGCACCAGTCTTTGCTGTTGTATCTTCTGCAGTCTGAGCCATGGTACACTAAAACCGAAAACAGAACAGGTTAGCAATGTTTTCTAACGTATGACGAGAATAAATTTCATTAAAGAACCTATTATGTGAAATGAGAGTAGATGCGGAGAAACATATAGGACAACTAAATAGCAGTGAAATAAGACTTCGAAGTTCAAATAATTGTGCAGTATTCTGTAGCATGTGATTGAAGCAAATTACTACTGTCTTCTTTGTTGGGGTAGTTCATCCCAAGTCCCACATGAAAGAAATAAGGAAGAGAGGACTTCCTTATAAGTGAGTGCATACTCCTAATAGTATGAGGCTTTTTGGGAAGGTGCCCAAAAACAAAATCGTGCGAGCTAGGCCAAAGCGGACGATATCATACTAATGTGGAGTGCAGTGTGTGTGTGACCTGTCAAAGTGGGTGACCCGGGCCCAACATTCTTTATAGAAAATATGAAAATCATATATAGTTTTTCATAGATAGCTCAAGGGACATGACGTATGCACAACACAGGGAAAAAAGATAGCTTGAAAGCTGCAATTCCGACATGGTTCTATTAGTGTGATACCAATTCAGGAGCCCTCATCTCCCCCCCACCCACACACAATGGCTTAAAGGAATGCAGCTTCTAAATAGAACTGCAATTATTACATTAAGGGAAGATTGAACTAAAAATATAGAAACCTGAGCCTGAAGGTCAATTGAAGCAAGGGGAGATTGAACATTCCAAAATAAATAAAAATGTAATACAACAATTGATGTCATAAATCTTAATGCAAAGTCCTCGTACTCCTCAAGTCCTCAACACTTATTCACTTTCATTCTAATCTCATTCTATTTGTTTGCTTTTGTGCCAGATGATTTGAAGGGCAGAAGTTTCATAAACTTGAAGCAGAAATTGCTATACTTGTCCAATTAATAGCTGCTCCAGCAGATAAAACATCAAATTATCAATTGTATCATAAAAATCATTAAGATATAAATTGGTGCGAATAGCAACCAATTAGTTTTATGTATATAGATCATGTCTTTACAATTCTTAAATGTTTAGATTCAAATGTGTATACACAACAACATTTCCGAGGAATTTTAAGGTCTAATAACAAATTCTAAAACTCGCTTCCTATTTTTGCTACAAGGGGATTCTTACCAGGGACAGTCTCAATAATCTGGGTATAGCCAGTGAAAGAGGGAGTCTTGTGACTAAATGAAATGATATGAGCACTATTGTCTTTGGTTGTCCTTTAGCTTTTCAAGTTATGCAAATCCTGCAGCTAGATCAGGATTAATACATAGATGATTTTTGGTGATTTATGTAAAACAAAGCAAAACGATATATCAACTTGTGCAGCTAATAAAGAACATGATCAAAATCAGCACTTCCTTCCTATTCGGGTCTTATACTGAACTACCACAGTATTTGGGTTAAATTGTGACAGATTTAGCTTGCCTCTCATGTTTGTTACCATGATTAGTGAACGACCTTATCATACATCGGTGTTTTATGGAACCAAATTGGTGAAATTTCTCTATTGATCAAGGCTTTCGATTTTGACATCAGTTAGTAATACTTATTTTGCTAAGAGGTAAACAACATAATGCTAGTACATCAGACAAACAAGATCTGTTAAATTGAAACATAATACACACTTGATCTAGTAATGAACAAGCTTAAAAACTAATCGTACCTCATATACCAAATCTATATAATCAATTTGCTCAAACAGATTAGTCAAATTTTATGTACAAGAAATACTAGAACAAACAATTCCCGCAATAACTTAAAATTCAAAACACCATTCATATATATAAAACAGTGAATTATTCAAAATATACCCAATATAATTCGACTGATCTTACTAGCCGCCGCCTCTTCCGCTGTTGCCTGAGGAAAACTGAGAGGGAAAGTAAGAGGAAAAAAAAAAGTTGGTAAAAAGCTTCAATGTTTTATTGGGTGTAATATAAACAAATCAAACTACTCCCTCATTTGACATTAAGTGTCACTTCGATAATGTAATTTGAACTAAGTAATACAACAATTAAATAATGTCGCGAGAGCACGCCAATTTAGATTGCTTTTGCTTTTAATATTGAGGAAGCAGAAACCAAAATGGACATTTGTTTAGAAAGAAGCTTCTTCTTTCCTCTCTGTTATTTTGTGATGCTTTTTCCTGCTTGTTATTCTCAAGTGAGGAGAACCCACCATTTATATTCATCTTTTTTCTATAAATTTTCCACAACTACAACCTCAAAAGCTTCCATTAATCTGGGTAATGATGTATTATTAACTGAGCAAGAAAGGGGGTACTATAATTTTCTCAAAAATGCCCATCAAACTTCAGATTTACCCCATGGAAAAGCAATACATACCCAGATCATCAAAAACTGTTGTTTGCATTCCTCCATTTTTCTACAGAATTTTCTGCTTAATATGTACCTTAAATTCGGGGACCTTGATAGTGCACTCTACTTGTTCGACGAAATGCCCCAGAGAAATGTTGTGTCTTGGTCTTCGTTTATTGCTGGTTTTGTGCGCCGTGGTTTTGCTAAGCAAGGTCTTTTTTATTTCTCCTGTATGTTTAGCACTGATGTGAGGCCTAATGAGTTCACTTTAGTTAGTGCACTTAATGCTTGTTCCTTTTCTGGGTTTGTTTCTCAGGCGTATCAAGTTTATTCATTGGTAATTAAACTGGGATTTGAATGGAATGTTTATGTCCAGAATTCATTTTTGACTGCTTTGGTTACGAATGGAGAATTAACGAATGCTATTAAGGCTTTTAATGGGTGTTTAGATAAAGATATTGTTTCTTGGAATGCTTTGATGTCAGGGTACTTGCAGTTTTCACCCTCAGAAGTGCCCAGCTTCTGGTTGAGGATGATTCGTGAGGGCGCGAAGTCTGATGGTTTTACATTTTCAGCTGTTCTAAGTGCCTTGGGTGATGTTGGTGATGATAAGTTTGGAATGCAGATGCATGGTCAGCTTGTTAAGTTTGGCCATGCAAGTGAAACATGTGTTGGGAATTCAGTAGTTGATATGTATGTGAAGTCTGGGGACTTGGTTAAAGGGATTAAAGCTTTTCGTGAGATCAGTGGCAAAAATATTCGGTCTTGGACAACTATAGCAACCGGGTGCTTGATTTGTGGGGCGCCAAGTAAGGCGCTAGAGCTCCTTGGAGAAATGAAGATTGCAGGTACAAGACCAAATCAGTTTAGTCTTGCCACTACCTTCAAAGCATGTGCTAATATTGCTTCTTTGGATGAAGGAAAGAAAGCACATGGCTTGAGAATTAAGCTTGGAAGTGAGATGGATGTATCTGTGGACAATGCTATGCTTGATATGTATGTCAAATGTGGCTGTATTGATAATGCAATGACGGTGTTTAGGCGTATTAAGGATCGGACAACCATTACATGGACTACTATGGTTATGGGATTTGCTCAAAATGGCCAAGCATTAGAAGCTCTCCAAGTTTTCGATGAAATGATAACTGAAGGCGTTGAGCCAAATTACATTGGTTTTGTGTGTGTTCTTTATGCTTGTAGCCAAGGTGGATTTGTGGAGGAAGGATGGAAGTATTTTTCTTTAATGAGTCACCAATATGGAATATTACCGGGAGAGGATCACTATGTTTGTATGGTTGATCTGCTTGGACGAACTGGACATATCAAAGAAGCAGAAGAACTTATCTCAAAAATGCCTTTCAAACCAGGACCATTAGTTTGGAACACCCTACTTGGCGCCTGTCATATACATGGGGATTTTGAAGCAGGAAAGCGAGCAGCAGCGTGTGCTATCCATCTTAAGCAGACTGATCCATCGACATATGTCTTGTTATCAAACTTGTTTGCGGATTTGAATCACTGGGAAGGATCAAAAGAAATGAGGGACATGCTGAAAGCTAGAAATGTAAACAAAGTTCAGGGAAGCAGCTTGTTATTATCTATGGATATTCTTTGCTTCTCTAACAAATGATTCCGTGATTCTTAAAGGTCTTGCTAATTTTTATACGTTCGGTTGTTCCTCTTTGAGCAGTTTTCGCTAGTTCTTGAGCTTCTTTGGGAAGGAAGAAACATTACCTATGGGCAGAAAAAGAGTTGCATGATCTGCAGCAACAACTTGCAAAAAGTTCATCAGACTAAACATCAGAATTCATTTGTTGAGCTTAATCATAAAATGTGTATGCTTTGAGCTTCTTCAGATTAGCTTGCATCTTAGTGTCAATAAACCAGTAAAAATTAAACAGTTTAAGGGTTTATATCATATTTCGAAAAATCATATGAGGATCATTGTCAATTAAAAATAAGTGAACTAGACATTTATTTAGGATTAGTCATAGAAATCGCGACATGAAATGCAAATTGAAGGTAATTGATTAACATATTTGTATCAGCATTCTTCAGTGCAATGCTACTAGTAAGTAGTAACTAGGAGTATTTTCTAGGGTCTCTAGACTAGATATACACATAAAAATCCACAAAGATTAGGATAATATTCTGTCAGGACCAAGAAATTTTGGATTGATGGGATTTGATGAATAATGGAGTTTTTCTATTTCTTTTACAAATCGCTTCCAAAATTTCACTTTGGACAATCACAATCTTCACTGATTCTCAAAATCTAGGTGAAATGCTATAGTACATCACAAAGTGAAGGACATTTAAATAAATACTATGGGATTTGCAACAAATTACGCATATTAGCAAAAATTTCTCCAGATGCAGCATCCACAAGGTTGACTGACAAAAAAATTAGCATGGTTCATCAATTGGCAATTACAACAGCTTCTTGTCTAAGAGCGTGCTTGTTCATGAACCAAAAAAAATAAATTGTTCATGTTACTATTCACAAAAAAAAATTACTCCCTCTCTCATATACATCAACCAAACAGATAATTTCCAACTTCCTTCTCTTAATAATGAACCAAAAAAAATAAATTGTTCATGTTACAAACTTACAATTACCTACCCAACCTCAATTTAACTTTAATCAAAAATTAAGATACATCATAATTTACTATATTATAATCTTATGTGATATGTAATTGATTATTATTACCATTATTAATCACAAATAACGAATTTGTTTTAGAATAAGATTATGGTTTTGATGAAGAGCGATTGTGTTTAGGGTAAAAATACCCCTGTCCACGTAGATCAATCCCGTGCTGACACGTGTCAGAGAGGTTATGAGAGAACCAACCCTCTGATGACACGTGGCACTCCAACCCATGAAAGGGGAACTGATCCCCTTACACTATAAATAGAGGAAAATCCTCATTTATTACACATTCAAAAATATACACAAAAAACATGAGCAATATTAATTGCAGAATTCTCTCGGAATCCGAGAGGAAAACATTTACATTCCGCACTTTTATACATCTGGACACGTTCTAACTTGATCGTTGGAGGCGAAACTCCACTCAACCGGAGTTTCCGTGGTTTTGCAAGTACAAACGGTCGACAACCATTCTTGGAATTGTAACTCTCCTGAGGGACTCCAAAAACCCCGAAACATTTGACACCGTATGTGGGGAGAGTACTTCTAAGATGGCTTCATAGCAGTGTGTACCGCCTGCTAATGAAAACCGGCCTTTGGCCGGAGTAGAGGTCTATACAGACCAAGAGAGTGGTGACGACTTCGATGTCGACACCTATGTGGCCCCAAACGGGTCACTCTGAACAAGTCGCACCCGTTCCAAGGAAACAAGGGAACGGGGCGAAAACAAAGTTGGTCCAAGCAACCCAACCGTCAAGCCGGCTGGGCAACCCCAGGCGGCGGAGGGTGCTGCCCCCGTAACTAGAGACGAACTCATGAAATTCATAACAAGTTTCAAAGGGGAAATCAAGGACCTGATAAACTAGATGACTGGCACCAACAAAGGTTAGTCAGCCAAGAAGCCTTCTCCTTCAGGGAAGAAGCATGTGAAGGATTGTGTGCCTACTACTCACCCTAAACCAAAGGAGACGAATGGGCCCGTGATTGATCTATCAAAGCTCCGTTTCCCTGAACCAGGGAAAAGGAAGGTCATCAGGCAAGTTCAACCGGATGGATAAAAAAGGACTTACTCAGATTCCTGGATGTTAATCCAGCAGAAGAGAAGTCAATAGTTGTCTGAGTCGGCTTCAACGTCGACTTACCCAGACAGTTTCCAGAATACTTCGATGAAGTATTCGGAGACAAACTGAGAGAGTCAGTCATGCGGCATGACCGCACGAACTGGCCCTCAAATTATCCAACTGGCTCTGTATGTGCCCCAACAACCATACATGCCATATGGATCACCATACATGCAGCTGACCCTCTTTGGGGGTCAGGCGGCACTGAATGTCCAGTCTATGGACTGGCAGCTCAAGTTGCTAAACCTTCGGGAACTGCCGTCGGCGTTCTCCAGGGAGATAACCGAGGCGGCTCAGCCAGCCAAGGTTAAGAATGTGTTTGTCGGTACCTATGACGGTACCACCAACCCGAAAGATCACCTAATGGCTTACACCAACCTCATGTACTTACAGGGGTTGGATGACGCTGCCTGGTGCCGATGCTTCCCGGCGACATTGAAGGGCATAGCCCAATGATGGCTTGGCAATCTGCCAGCCGGTTGCATCAATAACTTCAAGACGCTTGCATACTTGTTCGTGTCCAACTTCTCTATGAACATCCCAGCCAAAAAGACAAGTCTTGATTTAGGGGCTATTCAGCAGGGAGATAGAGAAGGGCTAAGGTCCTATGTCAGGCGGTTCAATCCGATGAGAATTCAGATCCAAGGGCCGTCTGACAAAGTTGCCTATACATACTTCTTCAAGGGTCATAAAGACGAGTCGACCTGTAAGTTTAACCTTGTCAGAAAGAGGGTTGCTACCCTCCAAGAAGCTTTGATGGAAGCCAAAGCCTACATACAGGCAACGGAACTCTGTGCCATCAAGCAGTTGTCGGACCCTAAAAAGTCCAACAAAAAGGAGAGCCGATCTGCTCAGCAAGCTAAAAAAAAGAGAGCAAGAAAAGAAAAGAAGTCTGGGTGGCGGACAATTCTGGTCAACCGTCCCAGAAGAAAAAGAAAGAGTTGAAGTCGTACGTCCCCAAGTACGAGTTCAACAAGGACTACTCCTCCATCCTCATGGAGATTAAAGACCGGTTGGCTATTGAAAAACCGGCTGCACTGAAAAGTCCTATCAAAAGTTGGGACAAGAGAAAGTACTGCCATTTCCATGAGGATATAGGGCATGACACCAATGGCTGCTATTGCCTCAGGCGATTATTGGATCGTCTGGCTGGTGAGGGGGCTTTGAAGTCCTATCTTCTGAAGTCCAAGGGTAACCCCAGGACAAATAGTGGTCAGCCGTCCAAGAAGCCCAACAACCTTGCTATAAGCTCTGACACTGATGAAGAGTAAATCCTTACTATAGCAGGCTATTTCGTGGAAGGGGGTTCTACCATCCCGGGCACCAAGTATAATATAAGAAAGTTGAAGGTCAACTCAGTGGATGAGGGCCAGGCGTCGAAAGACACCTTCCCTAAGGTCATCATCTTTGAGAAGGAGTGGGGCAAGGTCAGGCGGCCTCATGATGACCCCATAGTTATCGAATGCAAGGTTGCGAACCAACGAGTGGGCCGAATCCTTATTGATACCGGGAGCTCGTCTGACCTTATTAGCTATTGGCGCTTGGCGAAGCTCAAGTATAAGCCTAGCATCATGCACAAAGTCTCTCACCCCTAAGTTGGTTTTGGGGGAGGAGTAGTGCATCCGGTGGGGAGGATTGACCTACCCATTTGGCTAGGAGAAAAGGGAGAGGGACGGCACATGGTCGTCAAGTTCTTGGTGGTTGAGGAATTGATCGCTTACAATCTGATTTTGGGCCGTCCAACCCTCAACGAGTCCAAGGTAGTTATCATCCTATCCCTCATGCTGCTGAAATTTGAGAGGGATGATGGGTTAGTGGGTTCCCTGAATGGGGATCAGAAGACGGCAAGGGAGTGCTATCTCTCATACGTCAAGCCTACTGTAGCTGCAGCCGGCTAAGGCGAGGAACCCATTGACCTTGATGACTTCAAGGAAGCCGCGCCTGCTCCCAAAGCAGCCGGCAAAAAGAAAAAGGCGGACCACTTGGTGGCCGTAAAAAAAGACAAACAATAACTATCACTGATCGGGGAACGGTCAGATGATCTCCGTCCCCAGCCGGCTGGTGAGCACATAGACATCCCTCTAGACGGTGCACGTCCGGAGCGAACTGTTAAGGTGGGGACATCTGCCTTTGCAAAGTTGGGTGCCGACTTGCACCAACTGCTGATAAAATTCAAAGACATTTTTCCCTTTGAAGTGGAAGAGATGCCAGGCGTCAGCTCGGATCTTGCTGTCCACAAACTCACCGTGGATCCAAAAAAGAAGCCGGTTAGGCAAAAGAAAAGAAATCACGGTGAGGAAAGATCTCAAGCGGCTGCCGCCGAGGTCAGGAAGCTGATAAATGCTAGGTTCATTCGGCAATGTTACTACCCGGATTGGGTAGCAAACGTTGTCCTTGTTAAAAAGTCGAATGGTACCTGGCGGATGTGTGTTGATTACACAGATCTGAATAAGGCATGCTTGAAGGATAGCTATCCACTTCCAAAGATCGATAGTCTAGTCGACTCTACAGCCGGTCATGCCTTGATGAGCTTCATGGACGCCTACTCAGGCTTCCATCAGATACCCTTGTGGAAAAAAGATCAAGAGAAGACAACATTCGTCACTGATCAAGGGTTATTCAGTTATACGTTGATGCCGTATGGGCTGAAGAATGCGCCTGCTACTTTCCAACCAATGATTAATACAGTTTTCATTAATCAAATTGGGAGGAATATAGAGGCGTAAATTGATGACATGATAGTCAAATCTAAGCTACAGACGGATCACCTTGCTGACCTCCGAGAAACATTCACCACCCTTAGGCGGCACAAGGTCATGCTTAATCCCAAGAATTGTGTCTTTTGTGTTGAGTGTGGGAAGTTTCTTGGATTTTTTATTGATCAAAGGGGGATAGAGGCCAACCCGGAAAAGGTGCAAGCGGTAATTGACATGAAGTCACCCCGCACTGTCAAGGAAGTTCAAAAACTTATCGGTTGTCTGGCGGCTTTGGGGAGATTCCTCATCCGGTCAGGTGACAAGTGCCTCTACTTCTTCCAGGCAATAAAAAAGAAGACTAGATTCAAATGGGGGGAAAATGCTGAGGCGGCATTCCAGAAATTGAAAGAGCACCTTCACTCATTGCCACGACTAGTTATCCCTCTAGTAGGAGAGGCTCTCTATATGTATTTGGCCATCTCAGATCATGCCCTCAGTGCCGTTCTCCTAGCTGAAAGAGACGGCAATCAGCTCCCGGTATATTTCATTAGCCATTTACTTTGGAATGCTGAGCTACGGTACCCCTTGGTTGAAAAATTTGGCCTTGCTCTTTTCATGGCAATCAAGAAGTTGAAACTTTACTTCTTGCCACATCCGGTGGTGGTCTATATAGACTAACCCCTTAAGCGGCCAATGACAACCTTGGAGTCATCCGGCAGAAT